GAGGGAGAGTCCCCCTCCCTACGACCACGTGTCAGGGGCGGAAAAATGGCCGCGGACCATGTGTCAGGGGCGGAAAAATGGCCGCAGACCATGTGTCAGGGGCAGAAAAATGGCCACGGACCATGTCACGGAAGGGAAAAGGGCCGCGTATCCTGTTTGTACCCCGAGGCGGAGTTCGCAAACCGAAGCAACATTTTGCGGCTGGAGCTGGTTGTAACCCGAAAAGTTCGTTAACAGAAGCGTTCGTAACCCGAGGTTCCACTGTATTTGATCTAATCTGATCTAATCATATGTACTCTAAGTAGGACTTCATAGTTAGCCAAGCAGCAGTATGGAAGAAATTGCACTGACTATATTTTTCAGCATTTCAGACAAGGACTGGTGGTGCAATTCTTCTGAATCTCTCAGTGGCTTTCGACATCATCAACCATGTTATCCATCTGGACTGACTACAGGGATCAGGAGTGGGGGTCTTGTATTGCTGCAGTTCTCTTTTCTCAGTGGCTGATTTCAGGTGGTGTTGGTGTGGGGGGAGGGGGAAAGATCAATCCCAAAGCCCTGTGGTGTAGGGTGCCACAGGACTCAACAACACTCTCCCCTCTCCTGTTTAACATCTATGTGAAACCACTGTGTGAAGTCATGTATTGGTCTGGGGTTAGATATCACTAGTATACAGTTGTATATCTTGACCCTAAGCTGACCAAATGATGCTCTCAAGGTCTTGTCCCAGTGTCTGGAAGCTGTGGGAGTTTGGATGGGGAAGAACAGTCTTAAGGTCTTTTAACCCTGTATGTATGTACAGTATGTATGTATGATGTGTGTGTCTGTGTGTCTGTGTGTAATAAAAAAATCTTTACAAATATATATTTATTATATATTTAATATATAATAAATATAAATATATTTATAATATAAATAAAAATGTACATTAGTATTTTGCAAATTTTTAAAATTATTTTTATCATGTTTTATGTGTAAGCCACCTAGAGTCTCTTGTATAGTGAGATGGGTGGCGTATAAATTTGATAAAGAAATAAAATAAATAAATAATGTCAACTCTAGGAAGACCAAGTGGCTATTAGTGTTTGGACCACCTGGAATGGAAGACATTCCAGTTTTAGTCCCCAATGGGGTTGCACTTCCCTATTTGGAACTGATGTGCAATTTGAGTTTTTTTCCTGGCCTCACAGCTTCTGTCTGAGGACCAGGTGGCAGTTGTGGACAGGAAGGCCTTTATACAGATTTAGTGTATGCCAGCTGTGCCCATTTCTGGATGGGAGGGCCTCTGGACAGTCACTCACTGTCACTGGGAGGCCTGCTTTGGTCACTTTGTGTGTGGCCTGTTACAATGTACTCTACACGTGACTACCGTTGAAGGCCACTTGGAAGCTCAGTTGTGGACAGGAAGGCCTTTATACAGATTTAGTGTATGCCAGCTGTGCCCATTTCTGGATGGGAGGGCCTCTGGACAGTCACTCACTGTCACTGGGAGGCCTGCTTTGGTCACTTTGTGTGTGGCCTGTTACAATGTACTCTACACGTGACTACCGTTGAAGGCCACTTGGAAGCTGCAGCTGATCCAGAAAACGCTAGCATGGACAGTCATGAGCACGCCATAGTATGCCCATGTAACACCTCTGTTCTCTGAGCTGCACTGGTTACCAGTAGGCTTCTGGCCAATTCGAGGTGCTGATTATTCCTTATAAAGCCCTTCATGGTGTAGGGCCTGGCTACCTGAGCAACCATCTGTCTCCAGTTCTGCATAGTAAACAATCTTAAAAACAAATTAACAACAATGAACCAACATGCTCTTAACACACAGTTTATCCATCAGAAGCTTGCCATCCAATCTAACCTGAGGCCTGGGGGAAGCACTAGGTTTTAAGGGCTTGTTTGAATGAGACTAGGGTAGGAGCCACACAGGTCTCTGGAAGGATGCTGTTCCAGAAAGACAGGGACCACACCAGAGAAGGCTTGCTTCTTGGGTCCCATCAGGTTGCATTGTTTAATTGATGGGACCCAGAAGATAGCAAGTCTATCAAATCAATAACAGGGCAGGCAGACATCACAGGAGACAGATGGTTGCTCAGGTAGCCAGGCCCTACACCATGAAGGGCTTTATAAGGAATAA